AACCCACATTAACCCACATCAACTTGCATTAATTAATCGATATAAATATAAATATAAGTATAAATATAAATATATAAATAATTATAAATATATAAATATATAAATATATAAATATATGTTCCCATGTTTTGCTGCCAGTGTACCTGCCGCAGCTTCGAACTTTTCAAGGTGCATGGACCGACCGGTTGCGATAGGTGGGTTCAGTGGCATAGCTTCTACTTTAGCTCTGTCCCTTCTCAGGTCTTTAGCTCAGGACCACCGCCCTGTCATTGAGGTTCCTTCAGTGCCCATTGAATTGCCACCTCTTGAGTGCCCCAACATCTCCTACGAGGATATCCCCTTTTGGACCTTTTTGGCTGGATTGGGAACTGGACTGTTGATCGGGCCTGCGATTGATTTCATTTGGCTTCTCAGACAGAAGTGGAGACGATTCATCTGGAGGGTATCAGTTCAGGAGCAGCAGGGGAGTGGCAGGTTGTTCAAGATCATTGCATGAGCAGCGGGGCCCAGAACGATCACCAAGCTGCCGAGAATAGGCGCCTTCGTGACGAAGTGAGAGAGCTACGTGAGGACCTGAGGAGGCTGACATTGAGGGTGGACCATCAAGGCGACCAGATCAGCGAACTCAGTGCTTCAGTTGTCACCTCAGCTTCTACTAGCCAAATCAGTGGGCCAGTTTTTGAAGCCGAGCCGAGCAGTATCCCACCTGCTCCCACTGAGAGCGTTCGCAGTCAGCGACCTCCCAGAGTGCTTGGTTCAGCTGGTGGCTACACTTGGGCTGAGCGTGAAGCAGTAGCTCGAGACATTGGTGCCTTTCTGCGCCGGAGTTTGGACGGTGCGAACCGTGGAGAGTCTGGCAGAGACAGGTTGAAGAACCTCCAGTCACGCGTCTACGTCGTTGTCCGTGACAAAGAAGATCGAGTTCTCAACCCAGTGCGTTTGTGCAAGACCTTCAGTGAGGTGCGAGCTTTGTGTCATCGAGGTGACGATTGGGGCGACTCAATTTTCATCGGATTGCCTTCTCAGGCCGAAGCAGCTATTGCAGTGTCAGCAGCAGGGCTGGGCTGGCCTTCACCTGAGCAATGAGTGCCTTTCCAGACGGAGAGGTTGCCAATCCGCCTCTTCAAGAGTCTGGTGAAGGATTGGACACCCTAGAGGGGGCACCTATTGGCCCTCGCGATTTTGTGCTTGCGCCTGAGGCTGGGCCGCTGGAGACTGACTATCACGTTGGCCGGCTGACTCTTAGTGAATCTGGCCTTGCTGCCGGTGTCATTGCAATTGCCATTCTGGACGGTAAGCTGTTGATAGCGCTTCCTGAAGCAGTTTGGAGCAGGACTCCCAATAGGCGATTGATTCCTTCCAGATCTCTTGGCAAGCCTGTCCTGATTGCCGTTGCTGCTAGTCACTACGAAGAGCGTGACCAGCCCCTTTCAGGTGTGTACTGCAAAGTATGGGTCGGCTTCGCCAGCAGGGAACTAGAGCAAGAGCTAGATTTTGTCAGCGAGGAGGTGCTTTCATACGACTTCAACCCAGAGGGCGAGATGGACCTTCTTCCTTCAGCCGGAGGTTTGGTGGAAGTGGCGAGGGAGCATTTTTCTTTTGTAACGGCAGATTCTGCAGTTCCAGAATGTCCGCCAGAGTCTCCTCGCAGGCAGGAAGACCGTTTGCAGTCGTTGGAAGCCAGTCTAGAGCAGATCCAGCAGAGTCTTTCAGTTTTGATGGGCCATTTGCAGCCCGAGAAGAAGGATTCAACAGCAGACAGGGTTCGTTCTCTGACAGCCACCCCAAAAGTGTCAGCTTCAGTGAAGAAATCAAAGAGGGGCAGCCTAGACCATGCCGAAGTGCCGGGCCTAGACAGAGAGGCGGTGCAAGCCGCCCTTGCAGCAGGAGTCCCTCTGAAGCATCTTCAAGAAGTTGGCGCTGTTTTGAGTGGAAAGCCCAAGCGCCTGGACGAACTCCCTCGGAAGAAGCTCACAAGGCGAAATCACAGTGGCCCCTTGAGCGAAAGCGAGGAGGAGAGCGAAGAGCTGGAGCCCGACCCCGTGCAAGGCGGAGATGGTTCTCAAGTTGGCGGAGGGAATGGCAAGCAGATGGAACAGGCTGTGCTCCACCTTGCATCCATAGCAAAACACCTTGCAGCTCCGAAGGAGAAGAAAGACCGCATCGAAACACTGCTGGACGGAGGAGGTGGTTTAGCGCAGACTTCAGAAAGCAGCTCGAGTCAAGGGAGTCGGAAGAATTCTGTGGCAATGCGGGCTTTGCAACGGTGTTTGGTGGAGGACCCAAAGTACATCTATCAGGCCTTGGAAGCCAACCTGCAGAGCGATTTTTCAGCCAGACCGATTCAACCTGGGGAACCTATGAGCAGTGGGACCACTGTAAGAGGCTGGTTAGCCGCGAGATCCCGGGTTCAAAACTATACAAATCATGTGAGATGGTGCTGGCAAACTGCAGGGATTTGGGACGCTCTCATTGCCGGCCGCCACGACGAAGCTCGTGCGCGGTGCGGCCTCCTCTTGGCTTCAGCCGAACAGGCTTCGATCGATGGCGGAAGCTGGATCGTTTCGAATGTGGCCTTATTGGAGCAACCACCGCCGTATCAGGCTTTTGCCAGCCACCAGGCGCCAACGAGTGCCGAACTCCAGCACTCGACCTTGTTCGATCCGAGATGGGCGGAGATCTTCTTGGGCCATCTGAAGGAGGTGGACAGCTTTGTGGAAGCAAAGAAGAAGCTGGGAAATTCCAAGACTCCCAGCAAAGACTCCAGCGAAGATGGAACGAGGAGGAACCCCCATGCGAAGCCCAAAGCGAAAGCCAAAGGCGAGAAGGAGGAGAAGAACAAGAAAGGCCCAGCCACTCCGGAAGGGGGGGCGCAGGCTTCAGGATGAAAACACCTCAATTTGGCTCTGGAGGCAAGACCGGGCTTCCTGAGCCTCAGTTCCATAGCCGGTCGCGACCAACAAAGGTCCCAGGAGCCTCAGCTTCGACCTACAGTGGGTCCAGCATTTTTCAGAGCCTCCTTCGCCACCTGCTGAGTTCGAAGAGCCGACTTGGCGGTTTTGCACGTAGTTTTGTCACCTGGCATTTAGCCCATCGAATTTCTGATGGTACAGCTTCCTTTGAGCTCTTCCCCTTGCCTTGCCCGTATCCCGAAGTGTTTTGGCGAAAATCTGCAGAGGAGGACAAGAGGTTATCTCTTAAGAAAGGTGTGGTCGCAGCCATCATCATTCTGAATTATCTCCACTACAACAGACCCAAAGCTTGGGATGATGGGATGAAGACAAAACGGCAGCTTACAAAGAAGCAGTGGGAAGCTGTCAGACGGCTTGAGTTCTTTATGGAGGCTTGGACCGAATTCAATTTAGTCACACCTGAAGTGATGGGGAGGACAGCTGGTAAAGTAGAATCTTTGGAAGGCGTACTCTCTGAGCTGGAAAGGTGTGCAGCTCCTTTAGCGAAGTCTGGAGGGGGCTATTTCAATGCCACAAGCGTCCAGAGGAATGTGCCTCTTGTTTCAGGTACTTCACAAGGTCCAGAGCTTAGCAACAGTGGTATGACCACGTTCAAGGAGGTGGCTGCAGACAGGCTCACTTTTGTGGGTCGACCCAGTTTTGATCCGACACCATTTTTGGATCCTCTCAGCAAAAAGATCTTCAATGACCCAATGAGCTGTCGGCTTGACCCTAGTGAGTGCAAAGTGAAGCAACCTCGTCTTCGAGTCCATTGTAGCCGGCAGGAAAAGATTAAACTGTTTGAGCTGCTGGACGCGAGCGATCGGCTTAGGATTCATCTCCCCTCTGAAGTCACACCTTCTTTTGGCTCTGGTTTGTTTTCGGTAACGAAAGATCTGGCCCGTGACCGCCTCATCTTAGATTCCCGAGGGGCGAATTTGCTGGAGAGTCCCCCCCAACGTTGGATCAAGAGCTTAGCATCAGCCGAAAGTTTGACTCGACTTGTGTTGGAGGAGGACGAGGACTTAGTGTGCTCTGGCAATGATTTGCGAGATTTCTATTACTTATTTCAAGCCAGCAGTTCGAGGTCAAGAAGGAATGTTTTAGTTGGTGCGATGAATCCCAAAGAGCTCCAGCACTTGCATGCCCTGAAGCAGGAGCACTTGTCCAGCCCAGTGGTTTTTGGTGCGCTGGGCACTTTGGCAATGGGAGATTGCCAGGCTGTCGAGCTGGCCCAGAGTTGTCATTTGGGCCTCGGTCTCCAGCGTGACATCATCACTGCAGACAACCTTTGCACCATGTATAAGCCGCTGCCACGTGAGCGAACTATGTGTGGTCTTGTCATAGATGATTTTATCACCATGAGCAAGGTCTGTAACCGCCACAGCGCTGGGGGGTGGAGTGATGGTGCGAAGCTTGCTGAAAAGATGCAGGACGTTTATGAAGAGGTCAAGCTCATCCCCAACAAAGCAAAAGGTTTTAGAGATGAACTTTGCAGCAGCTTTTGGGGGGTGGATTTGGATGGCAAAAGGGCCCTGCTACGAGGCTCCTTGAAGCGGGCGATCCCCCTTGCTGGCCTCATCCTCAAGCTAGTCTCAGTTGGGCACGCTACAGCGGATCTCATGCAGATCATTGTGGGGTCAATTATTTCTCTGTTCCTTTACAGAAGACGGCTGCTCTCTCTTTTGGACTCGTTGTTCAAGTGCTGCAGGCGTGCTGATGGAAAGGAGGTTTTCAAGTTGGATGGGAGAACTACCAGCGATTTGCTGATTTTAGCTGTACTCCTTCCGCTGGCCGTCACGAATTTGAGGGCACAGTGCCCTGTAGTAGTGGCTGCTACAGATGCTTCCAATTGGGGTGAGGCTGCAGTTTTTGCAAGAGTACCGTTGGGGGTTGGGAAAGAACTGATCAGACACTCTTTGCGCAAGTCAGTTTGGTCAAAACTTTTAGCACCCAGTTCTGCGCTCTTGCGAAGCCATGGCATGCTGCCGGAGAGTGAAGAGCTCCCCGAGCCTACTGACTGTTTCCAGTCCAATGCCCTGTGGTCCATGCTCGCCCAACGACTTAACTACAAATTGCTGTTTGCAAAACAGAAGAGTGGACTCCGCCACATCAATGTCGGTGAACTCCGAGCAGGGCTTAAAACCGAGAAGATCTTGGGACACCGGCGGCCTTCCAGCCGGGTCCTGCTTGGAATGGACTCACAGGTGGCACTAGGATCCTTGGTCAAAGGAAGATCCTCCTCGGCAGCTTTGAATGCTGAGCTGGCGCGTTCTATCCCTCTGATGCTTTTGCAAGACACCTATTTTGAGGGCATGTACTTCAACACAGCTGAGAACAGAGCAGATCAGCCCACAAGGGGAAAAGAGATCGAACCCCCTGTAGCGCCACTCCCTGAATGGTGGGACTCCTTAGCTCGTGAAGAATACCAGAGCTTTGACCGGTGGCTTTTTGAGCAGGGACTTGACGCCGAGACCTTGTCGGGCCTCCCTCCGCTGGATGAACTTTGTGGCAACGTTTCACCTCAAGGCATTTTGCCTAAGTATTTGCGGAATGAACTTTTATGCAGCAGCAGTCAAGAAGATGAAAGAAGCCTACGAGGTGGGGACCTGGGTTTGCCGAGCTCTTCATCGTCGGCGCAGCCGCTGCGGCGGACTGCGAATTACGGTCGGCCCAGCCCTCACCTCGATGCTTCTAATGAGAGTTTTTGTTCTCAGCCTCCAGCCTCACCTGAGCCATCTGCTCCAGAGGCGACTGGCCTTGATCCTAGGAGCCATGAGGTTCAACATGCTCCAAAAGTTCAGGAAAAGAAACGGTCTCTGCGGGTGCTGCCGCCTCGACTTAGCAGCGAGGCGATCGCAGCCCTTTCCACTTTCCCTCGAGATCAGTTTGAGCTAGGGAATGGGGTCCAATGGCCTCCGCAACATGCCGGTTTCCTTGATTTATTTTCTGGAAAGCGAGGTGTGGCAAAGCAACTTTCAAAGCTCAGCAGCTCCTGGAGCCTTTGTTTTGATTTAGCCGATAGCCCTTCGCAAGATCTGAGTGATCCAAAGCTGCGTAGCCGCATTGAAGAGCTGATCAGGTTGGGTTGCTTTTTAGGGATTGGCGGAGGACCTGTGTGTGCTTCTTTTTCAATGGCAGTGAGACCAGCAGTCCGTAGCGCTTCTCATCCCTATGGCGTTCCAGATATGAGCGATAAGATGAGGCCCAAGGTTTTAGCAGGAAATGACATGGCGCTTTGGGTCTTCAAACTTCTGGACTTAGCGCTGGGACTTCAGCTTGCTGTTTGGCTTGAAAACCCTAATGCATCCTGGATGTTTCGCCTTCCTGCCTGGCTCAAGCTACTCGAGAAGTGGAAAGCAGAACTAGGACACTGGACAGTGGATTACTGCCGTTTCAAAACGCCCTGGAGAAAGAGGACAAAAGTTTTTTCGAATACTCTGCTGCGTGGTCATCGGACTTTGTGTGCTGGCGGGCATGAACATCAGCTACTGAAGGGGTACTCCAAAAAGTTTAGGAAGTCCTGGACAAAGGTCGCAGAGCCCTACCCTGATGGAGTTGCAAATGCGGTGGCGATCGCCTTGGCGATGTTTGCTGATTTAGTGGACAGCTCTGGTGTTTTTGACCCCGCTAACTGCTCTCGCACTGGTCACATGCGAATTGGCGAGGCGAAGAATCCAGGACCCCGACCTCCCAGGACTCAGGGTCGTGTAGGACTGTTAGAAGCTGTTCCTTTAGTTGAGCCACGAACTCTTGCACTTCAAAGTAAGATCTGGGAAGGGTTTCTAGGGTGGTTAGCTTTGTCACTGAGCCCCGGCGCGATAGACTCAGCCATGGCGCAGCCTCACCTGTTGGTTTTACTGGCGAAACAGTATGGAAATTTTCTATATTCCTCTGGCAAGTCCCTCTTTGTGTACCGCCATTTTCTGGTTTTCTTGCAACAAAGCTTTGTGACCGTAAAGCCCTACATGAGCGATTGCTGGGGGTTGGTCACTAGATGGGAAGTCATGGAACCAACCGTGCACCGAGTGCCGTTGCCCTGGGCGATTTACAGAGCCATGCTGACCATTTCCATTGGGTGGGGCTGGTTTCGCTTTGCTGCCATGCTCCTTCTTGCATTCTTAGGTATTTCTAGGCCTGGTGAACCTTTAGCAGCTTTTCGGAGCGAATTGGTGTTGCCGAAAGATATGCTGGATGAGACTCAGCAAGTTGCCTATCTCAAGATCCTTAAGCCGAAGACGAGACGGCGAGGGAAAGGGGTGGTTCAACATATTTCGGTACAAGACCCTGAAGCCATTTCTTTTCTGGATAAGCTGTATGGAGGTCGGCCAAAGACCGAGCGCTTGTTTGAATGCTCGCCCAGTGCCTTTCGGCGACGCTGGGACTCCATCCTTCGCGCTCTGTCAGTGCCTAAGAGTGCAGGATTGACGCCAGGCGGTGTCAGAGGGGGCGGCTGTGTGTACGCTTTTCAAACTGGAACTGATCTCCCGCGATTACTTTGGAAGATGCGTATCAAGCACCTGCAGACCCTAGAAAGTTACCTACAGGAATGTGCCGCTTCAACAGTAGTTTGTGAACTGCCAGCCGAAGCCCGAGAAAGAATCCGCTCGGCATCCTTGCTAGCTCCTTTTCTTCTAGCTGGAAGCCTAAAGACCTGATGCGCAAACCTGGAGTCCATACACAAGTACTATTGCTTGCTTTTTGGTTAGCCATGCGCAGGCATACACCTTGGGCTGGCTCTGATAGTTGGAGTTGGACTGGAGCGAGATTGTGATGGATTCGACAAACTGCAGCCTTCTTTTGAGATTTCATCCATGTGCTGCCCTTTGACCACCATCCACTTCACTTCCAGCTGCAACACTAGACTCAAAGAGCCAGGTGACAAAAGGAATCTTTTGCGTGCAGCAGAGGGGGAAGTGGCATCCAAACATGTTCCCATGTTTTGCTGCCAGTGTACCTGCCGCAGCTTCGAACTCCCATGCCACGGGCACCCTGCCCACCCCTTGCTGCGGAGTTGGACTGGAGCGAGATTGTGATGGATTCGACAAACTGCAGCCTTCTTTTGAGATTTCATCCATGTGCTGCCCTTTGACCACCATCCACTTCACTTCCAGCTGCAACACTAGACTCAAAGAGCCAGGTGACAAAAGGAATCTTTTGCGTGCAGCAGAGGGGGAAGTGGCATCCAAACATAAATATATAAATATATATTTATATATTTATATATTTATATATATATATATTTATATTTATATATAAATATATAAATATATATATAAATATATAAATATATAAATATTTAAATATATAAATATATAAATATATAAATATAAATATAGATATAGATATGAATATGAATATGAATATAAACATAAATACACATGAATAGATAAATATATAACTATATATATATATAAATGGGCTGACCCCCACATTACACGGGTATCAAATTTCACGAGCTCCTGGGATTTTGTGATTTTTAGGGAATATTGGATACCAAGGTCAAGATGCAATATTTGATGCAGTGTACGCGCACAAGGGTCGCACGAAAAAACTTAAGCGTCATGGTTTGCACGGGTTTGCACTGGATCAGCCTTCCATAAATGGATTTGGTCCAATTAATCGTTCAGAAAAAATGAAACGGTCGGAAACGGTCGGAAACGGTCGGAGACGGCCGGAAACGGTCGGAAACAGTCGGGAAAATGATCAGGCTAAAACTTGTCCAACCCGTTTATTTATTTTTTAAATAAGCATTTCCGCGCAACGCAGTTGTTTTTTTGAAGGTCCAAAGGTGTCCAAGGGGAAACGGTTGGAAACAGTCGGAGATCGCACCTTCCTTCGGCAAAAAAGTAATTGTTTTGTAGCGTATGGGCTGATCCCCACGTTACACGGGTTTCAAATGACCGCAGCTTCCTTCAGCTTTGCTGAGACGGCCGCTGAACTGGCGCAGCGAAGTGGCCATCATCTTGGAGGCCCTGGTGGCCATTGGAAGCGTTCCGATGTTTCCCATGATGCTCATCTACCTCTTCTGGAAGGCCAGATGAAGGATCAAGGATGAAGGATTGATGAAGGATTGATGAAGGATTGATGAAGGATTGATGAAGGATGTTTTTATTGTTGGGGATGTGGATTGTTGAGGATGATTGGGATGAATTGGGATGATAGAAGCGGCATATCTAGTCCAAGCTTGGCAGTTTGAGAGTGTTGAAGCCCTCGTTTGCCTTCCGCTTTTTGTTTCTCGCATTTGCAAACTGCCACCTTATGCACGCTTCTACGAAGCACATTACATTACTCGAGAGATGGGAATGAACTGGAGAAGTCAGGTGAGCGGAAAGCATCAAACTATATCAAACTCACAAATCCATTGTATATGCATTGTGGTAGTCATCTTGGTGATAGTTCACTTTGGGACATCCCCCTTTGAGACCTACTACTACGGAGAACAAGGCAAGCTATTCATCAGTAGTTCTGCGACACTACTATTCAGGGTCAGCCATTAAGAGATTCTTTAAATATACATGGGCCATAATGATATTACTATACACATGACAGCACACACACACACACGCACGGATATATGTATATGACTGACTGTATATATATATATATGTATGTATGTAAATATGCATTTGCATTTTTTCAACTAGAATATGCATATACACATATATTATATTGCACAGATGCAATGCATATTTCTGGCCCCGAACATGGAACGCTTGGAGCCAGGCTTGCCGCAGCAAGCCGGAGGAGAGATGGCGAAGGTGGCGGCACTTCATGGCGCTGTTGGCGGTGTATCTCTTTTTGATGCCTCTCGACGGGAAGAAAACCGACACGAAAGGGGGCAGGAAAATCAAGAACATGAGATATCTTCGGCACAAAAGCATCTGCATTACAGGCAGGTGGATGGATGGATGGATGGATGGATGGATGGATGGATGGATGGATGGATGGATGGATGGATGTGTGGATTAATACATGCAGATGTGTGGATGGATGGATGCATTAATACATGCAGATGGATGGATGGATGGATGGGTGGATGGATGGATGGATGGATGGATGGATGGATGGATGGATGGATGTGTGGATTAATACATGCAGATGTGTGGATGGATGGATGCATTAATACATGCAGATGGATGGATGGATGGATGGGTGGATGGATGGATGGATTAATACATGCAGATGGATGGATGGATGGATGGATGGGTGGGTGGATGGGTGGGGGGGGTGGGTGGATGGATGGATGGATGGATGGTGGGTGGATGGATGGTTGGATGGATTAATACATGCAGATGGATGGGTGGATAGGCAGATTGACAGACAAATAGATTGGATATATCATAAGCGCCCAATTATGATGGCAAAAATTGGTTTACATACTACCATGAGCCTGAAAGGCCGTGTCAGTGTAAATGACCTGAACGTGGACTTGGATATACCTATGTCCATAGCATTCCATGGTATTAAATATTTGGTGTACCCAAAGTGTGTTCACGATGACCCATTGAGGTTCATCCCTACGGTGCCAAGACCGTGGCTGATGCTTGGCGCACGATGCGTATTGCTGTTCAATGTAATGTTTTCAGAACTGATCGAAGAAGGAAAAAATGAACTCAACCATGGTAGTTGTGAACCCTTTGCAACCACCAGTGCGTAAAACAAATACGCCACTGGAGACTCTAGAGAAAGGCGAGACTTGGAAAAATGATGTCTTGAATAGCAGACTCAAATCCATCATGCGATGGTCTTTCACAGTTAAACCGATGGTTTTGACTAAAAACAGTTTGTTTCATGCTTCCCCAAGTGGCTTTAACTTGAATCACCACCCGGCCTTAACCGCCTAAGCCGCCGTAGCCGCCGGCAGTTCCATGCCAAGCCCATCAAATCATTCGACCAAGGATGGGCAGTGCATTCTTTCGATGGTGGTTGGAATACTTTTCCATTGGCCTGGTTTACCAGGGTGCCCGGCCGCTACCTGACAGGCAGGGCCCGACAGGGCCGCCTTTCGACAAACAAAACATGGCGATGGCTTTGCTCCATTTATCCCAAGGATATTTCAATCGAAAAACTAATATTTTCCATTCTCAGGTTAGTGTACCAAATATTGAATGTGAGCCAAGTGACAAATCCATATGCGCACTGGAAATTGGGTCTTGTCTTGCGGGAATTGAAAAATACCGATATCTAAGCGCGTTTTATCACATTTAATTAATCTATACTAGCGAAGCCAACCTTCTTTTGGATCCCTTTCGAACCTGAGCCCAGGCAGTACATCTATCTCTTCATGCCCCACGGGCTCTATCCTTTCTCTGGGGCCTGTGCCAGCATCGCCTCCATGCGCGACATCTTTCCGCGCATGCGTATAGCGGCCGCCTGGGTGTCATTTCGCATCCCGGTGATCCGACAGCTGATGGGTTGGATCAACACCATCCCCGTGGAGCCTGGGCTACAAAGTTCGATGGCACCCCACGAGTCTAACCTCTGGCAATATCAATTTCCGGCAATCGATTCTAAATAGAAGTGGGGCTTGATGGCCTTTTGCACTTGCAAGCCAGTTGCCCAAGAAGGCGGCTCAACCTTCATCATTTTCCGAAATTTTGGGCTGCTGGCTGTAGCCCTTCTGGACGTTTGAGCCATTTCGTTGCTGGGTTCTCCAAGGATCCCTCTTCGATCCGAAAGGCGTTGAAGGGCGGGGATTCCATCGGTCTTTTCCCTGGTGGAGTAGCGGAGATGGTGCGCACGGACAGCAACCAGGAGAAGCTTCTGCTGAGGTCCCGCAAAGGTGCCGGCCGGAGTAAGGGATGGTGAGACATGCAAACCAACGCAGAGTGGAACTGTGGAACCAACCAAAATGACTGGGTTGCTGGTTGAAGAGAAACCTTGAGCTTGTTCCTTGCCACATTCCTTCTTCTGCGCGAGGTTTCGTGCGGTTGGCCATCGAACATGGCGTGCCCATCGTGCCCGTCTATGTCTTTGGGCAGTCGGTGTTGTGGAGCCAGCTGCCGATGCCGAGCTTGGTAGAGCCGTGGCAATCTCAAGTCATGACCCACCAAAACGGAGATATTTGTGGGAGCAGAGGCCATCAGTGCCATTAGATCCATTAGTTAGTATAGTCGCTCTTATACAAACCATTCGTGGGTCATGTGGCCACCCAAGAAATGCAAAAGACAGAGGATCAAACAGCCTTTTGACCTTTCTGGCACTTTAGTTTGTACCATTTTGTACTGACTCCCATGAGCAGAGAAGATAGAACGAAATACAGACGTGCGATAAATAATAGTGCCTTAGTCATAGCTCCGGGCGATGGAGAGCATGTCGAGCTGGTGCCAAGGAGCGTTTGAGCCGCTGGCTGCAGGCGAGCATCATTTTGCCCTATGGACGCTTTGGTCTTCTTGTGCCACAAAAGCGGCTCGACAGGAAGAGCCAAGGGCTGCCCTTGGATCGCTGGGCCGGGCTTTCCACCATCTTTCACAACAGGAAAGGCTGCAAAGATTCCCCTAGTATCAGTATCCCTATAATTTCCTCGACTTTATAGGTGGATGACTGCAACAGACTTTTGCTTCAGGGGTTGGATGTGCTGATCCCAGCCTCCAAGTCTGCTCAGGAAGTCCTTGCTATATGCCATTGGTGCTCCCATTGAGCCGGGTGACAATATCAACACCACCCACGATGCAGTTATCTCTGCCGTGCAGACGCTCTATGACACCTATAAGGGGTTGTATGGCTGGGAGAACCGTGCCCTTCAAATTGATTGAATGCAGGCAGCTGCTGTGTCTCTGTGCGTGATTGCCAAGCTGGTGAGAGCCACATTATACATTCTTGAAAAATAAGGACGCCAGCCGAAATCGAACATGGAACCTTGATGAATTATCTCAGATAAATTTGCAAGTGAAACAAGTCACATTAGGCCACTTTCTAGTTCCAAGTTGTATTTCGATGAGACAACTGGTGCAGTTTTGTTTGTCCAACATGGTTCAATGAGGGCCCCTGCCAGAATTTCAAGGCAGTTCCACCTCCGACCCGTCGTGCAGTTGGCACATGGGAAGGTTCGGAAGGCCCCAGCCGATCCCAAAGAGGCGGTACGAAGAAAAGTTGATCCACGAATGTCATGCAGTTCTGCAAGTGGAGGGTCATATGATGACAACATTCAAGAATAATAAAAGGATGGAAAAGGATGGAATACAGCAAACACGTTCAACCTCAGCGGGTGGTGGCGATGGACCCAATTGCATACCATATGCGGGCATGTATGCAGTACATATCAACAATACGGGGATTCTATCTTTTTTGCAGATGCCGCGCCATTCCTCAACCTTTTGGAATCCACATAGCAGCCAGGGATTTTGCCGCTCAGGTGTCCGCTCTTCATGGGCCCTTTGTCGGCTTATCGAGAAGAACATGCTGGGGGAGCCCAGTGGTGGCAGACACACCAGATGGCATCAGATCTGTTGTCGTGCAGGTTTTTCCTGTTCAGTCGGTCTCACCATGTCTCACCTCCTCCGCAATCCGCGGCTCGCCAGGTGATTGACATCATGAAGTGTGGAGTCCGCCAGGGCACAAAACCTGCAGTGGAGAGGTGTGGCACCCGCGGCAAACACGAGGATGAACCAGTTCTAATGAAAACGGCTGGTGGTTTCGCAGGGATGGTGGAAAAAATGGAAAAAAGGCAACAGACAACATTTCGAATGCACATTGATTTGCCATGATTTGCCCATAATACAGGATATTGAAGCAACACATCGCAAGAAAGGGATCTTTCAAATAGAATTAGTGTTGTAACCTACACCTGTAGGCCTCGAGGTTCCCAGCTCCGATGCTCTGATTATAGGACTATCCACCTGCTGATTCTAGGTGCGTGTAATATCTTTCCACATTAGCTAATGTGTGTAGCCTCCGAACTTACTGTGTGTATATATATATATACACGTATATTATAATTATAGAAATGAGTCATGAATATTGGTACTATGCTCGGACATCGCTGGGTTCAGCTCGGACATCGCTGGGTTCAACTCCTGCCGCACCAGAAAAACTGGGAGGCCTGGCCGCTCTCGGAAGGTGATGGAGGTGGGCTTGGATCATCGATGGCTGACAACCTTGACCCGTGCTTGTCAGTATCATTGTGTATCCGTATCTCTTCAAGTTGCAGGTCGTACAGCGTTTGTGCACGCGAATTTCATGTGTATTATATTATATACTGGTACTGTTTGGTAATCTGATGGTTCCCCAAAAGTTGGCAAACTACCGTAGATGGACGAATTATTCAAACCCTTGTAATCCAATAACCCCCCGCACCCCCAATTACAATGTTGTTTTTTCTTGGTTTGGTTCGCCCCTTCGAATGGACAAAATAAATCAAACCCTAAGATCAGGAACAAAGATACGAAACTATAACGTTGAAATTTGGGGGGACAGGGGGTAGCCTACAACTCATGGATGCGGGGTTTGAATAATTTGTCCATCTACTGTAGATCACCATCAACGAAATTCGTAGGGGTGTTCTTTTTTCCTTTTTTTATCTGGGGGCCCCTGCGCTTGCTGGGGATGCTCGGACACCACTCATGTCTTGAGATTTGCCCTCACATTTTGGACGAAAGGCCAGCAACAGTCTGGCGGCTGACCCGCGCGCAACTCAGTGACTTGTACCGGCCGCCAACTTTCACCATTGAGAAGACACATTGTGGAGTCAATCATGGGCCCCGATCCAGATATTCTGATAAGGTTGTATCATTACATGTTGTCACCATCCAAAGTCGGTTTACGTGTGTATACATGTGCACCTTGCATCTTTGTGCGTTTGTGGTATGACTCATATGATGACTGCAATCTCTGGTTCAGACTGCAAACTGCATAAAATATCATGGAATGGAAGAAGTCGACCAAGAAAAAGCACTCTGCAGGTCTTTTGGCGCCACTTGCATGCTCCTTTTTCTCCAGCAAATCGTTGAGAGTGAGATATAGCTGCGATAGCTGTCAGCTTCTCCAACATGAGTAGAGAGGGATGAGTAGGGGATAGTGATTACGGGAGAGGCTCGATTGCGGCCGAACAGCCCGCCAAAACAGACCCCCCTGCGACTCAGAACCACTGCAACATACTGCCACACAGTTGGAACATTGCGACATTGTGAGAACACGTCATTTGGTCAGGTGGTCATGTGACCACCTCAGCCCTGGCCCATGCCTTAGTCGTTGCATGGCGGAACCTGACATCTATGGTGACTTGTGCGCGGACCTTCCTCCTACCCCAGCGGTTGCCTCCGCACCTGCCTCAGCTGCCCCGGCGCCGCGCAGCGAAGCACCAGCGCCACGCAAGGCCTTCCGCGCCAGGAACTTGGTGTGGAAACCCCCAACAGATGGGGTGAGCAAGGCGCTAGAAAAGTCGGAGCCTGGTAGTGGCACCAGTTGTGCTAGCGGGGCCAGCGGTACCAGTGCCAGTGGTAATGGCCCCTGTGATACGAATAGCACCAGTCAGAAGGTAGAGGTGATCGACCTCGAGTCACTTGAAGAATTGCAGGTGTTAAACACCAGTTCCTTCACGGCACCTGCACCCTCCGCTGTCCCATCTGCCGGTTCAACATCTACAGCGAAGAGTCCAGAGAAGCCAACTGCGGAGTCTCCTGCAGCAACTTCTGGTAGTGGGTCCCAAGGCGCTCCGACCACTGGGGGCTCAACGGAGGGCTCAGATGACAAAGATGCCGCCAGCAGCAGCTTGCCAGGACAGGATTACTCAGAATTCATTCCTGTGGAACGGTGTCGTGGAAGAAATCTGGGGAAGATTCCAGTTGAAACTGAGACCGAGGCAACCCAGGTCGCTTCCAAGGATCCAGATGAGCTCCAGGTGTTGAATGCCAGTGCTGCCTCCATGCCCGATGGTCTGGACATCTATGGTGACCTGTGCTCCGATCTCCCCCGCACCTCCGCTCAAGGCCTAGCAGCTGGCTCGCCAGGGAAGCCCTTCCGCCGGCCGCGCGCTAGGAATTTGGTGTGGAAGGCTGAAAATCCCAGCCGCCCCCCGAAGGATCCGAAAGTGAAGGATGACTCCAAGGCTCACCAGGTGCACGAAGTGGAGGATGATGTACAACTGGATGCGGCTCCACTGCAGACGCAACAGCAGGAGGCAGCCTTGCAGAAAGTCTTGGCAGAGGAGGTGCGGCACCAAATTGGTGGCTGTTGGGTGGTGAAGCTTTGGGGCACGTTCTGCTCTGGTTCCATTACTGTTCCATGATGGATGAAGATGAATGAATATACTATACGTATAGACTAGCTGTTTGCAGACTTTGCAGGCTGCTCCTCATCCTGTGCCAGCACCTGGAAGCCCCGTGTCCGAAGAAGTGGAGGAGCAGCTGACGGAAATGCATGGATGATGTGAAATTTGACTTGCTCACTCTTCGACATCCTACCAGTTGGACATTTTTTTCAGCTCCTTGGGTCCTTGCTGGCGCCAGGATAGTGACGACGATGGTTCCGTACACCTGGGCGAAGTCTTGGCCTCGCAGACAGCTGCGCGAGCTCCCCCGGGCGGACCAGCCAACGCGGTACCAGGTGAAACGTCCACGGCCGTTCGTGTTAGTTGGGAGAAAGAACTTCTTTTGGATGAGTCTTTGTTGATTGCTTTTTTGTGGGGGGGGTGTTGTTGGGATGATTATGAGATATTGTGATGATGGTTTGGATTTGATGTTTATAAGTCTCCGGGGAGTTGGCAGGTATGGTGCAAGCCATTGGTAGAGGAAGCAGTGGGGAACCACTAACTGCTATTTGCATGCTGTTTGACGGCGGACTTCATGCAGTAAATTTGCACGGCAATTTGATTGGTTTCAGTTTCCAAAAGTTGCCAATTCTCCGATCCTCCAAACTTGAGAAGCAATCTCTTGGTTTTGGGTTTTCTAACTCTTGGATTATCCTTGGATTTGCCTACAATTAGACATACCGTAAACCCATTTCAATGGCAGATGGCGGTTTCCTCCATGGCAGGAAGCCACTGGACTACACCAGTGCCGGTGGTGCCCTGTGCCCAGCGACCACACGAAGGCTTCTTGTTGCTGGCGGGGGTACCTGGCTGGCTCACAGATGCAGAGCTGCGAAAACACGCCAGCCAGTTTGGGCAGGCAGATGAGACTGCTTGGATGGGGTGTGGAATGGCAGAATGAAGAAAAACATCAAAGATAGATAAATAATGGCATTAGTATAGGGTCCCTGGCATATAGTATAGGGTCCCTTAGGGCTGCGAGATGATGCTGGGTGTGATGAAACTCGGAATTTGTTGTTGTCTCTGTCCGTCCTGTCATGCCCTGCCACATCCTGCCACCAGGTGCGAAACCTGCGCACCCTTTGTGACAGCAAGGGGAAGTCTGTGGGGATTCTGCTGCTGGAGTATTCAGACATCCAGAGCGTCCGCAGGGCAACCGAGGCTGATGGCATTTGCCGAATGCGCATGCTACAGGGCTTTGGAATCGTGCCCCGGGTTATGTCAGTTAGCGCCTTTGCCGCATTCATCCGCAGCTGACCGCATTTGACGCGACATAGGAACCAATCTCTAATGTTTGCTG